AATAATGTTATTATTATTATTATGAGTTTCAATCATTGCAGCCATTTCGGGTGGAAGGAAATGCCTCGACACTTTTGTTTTAAATGTAAGTGTTCCTTTCGAAGCGAACAAACAAAGAGAGTGAGACGGAAGACAGAGAAGGAAGGAGACTTAGAGAGATCGAGAGTTAGAGAAGGATAAGGAGAACGAAGAAGAAAAAAAAGAGGAATGCTCACCTACGAGAGACGAAGCCGAAGATAGCAAATGCTGACTATGATCATGAGCGGCTTATCTGGGAAGCCGATCGATGCATGCTAAGGCAGGAAGATCGACGAGTGCAAGTCAAGGCTTCCAAGTGCATCGATTAAAGCAAAAGACGACAATGACAACGAGCGAATGCGTGTATGTTGCAATCAAGCAAAGGAGGAAAGAGAGGCGCACGCGTGTTCTGTGTGGTGCACCTTGCGTACAAAAAGGAGAGGCGGGTCAATTCGAGCCCTATAGTGCGGGAGAAGGGTGAACCGAATTCGAGCGCCTCTGTGCGCGAGAGAAGAATGAGGAGGCTTACAAGTGAGAGGCTTCAACACTTCGTGTGAGGTACTTCATGCAATAGGAGAAGAGCTAAAGTCAAAGCTAATGATCCTTGCTGCCTTTCATGCATAAACAATGTGGAACCGAACGAACCAGTACAGATTAAGGTGAGTTAGGATTTTAGCATACTACTTATGAATTTAATATATATATGTCTAATTATTAAAATATTAATAATAGGTTTAATTAAATCAGAATTTTAAAAATATAATGAGTTGAAGTGATCGAGGAAGGAGCAAATAAATAATATAATTGAGATAAGTTCTATTTATATATCTTTTAATATAGAAAATATATTATTACATAAAATAATATGCAACTGAGAAATACATTAATTTTTTTTAGTAAGCGAAAAAAAGTTGATAAAATATTATGTTTTGCATTTTTAGACACTAAATAGATGGCGTCAAAGATTAAGTAGCTATAAGAATCATCAAAGGGTTGGGTGAGTGCTCATGTTCTTATGTTATAGTAATATTTTTGTTTCTTTTTAACAAAATACGTTTATCATCACTGTCACTAGTTATATTGAAATCACTACAAACTCATGATTAATGATTTTATTGAATTTTTATTCATATTGTAAGAGTAATGTGTACACAACATTATTTAAATTATCATAGATATTGAATGCTATATAAATGTAGTTATTGTTATGTAAATAAGAAAGAAATAATCATTATTAGAAAGTGATTCTTATAGTATGTTTTTGTGTGCATGCTTGGTTATGATGGAGTTCACCCCTTTATAATACTAGCAGAAAAATGCTAAGGTACATGTGCATATAAATGAAAAGTTTATTGATATTGATGTGTCTTAATTGACATACGTTTAGATACTGCTCATGTGACAGTTGTACAAATATAAAATGATACAGACATGCTATTGATATGAGAAAACGTATTGAATATTATGAACTATCGTGAAAAAAACAAATAGGAAACTGTTTACTGCTTTTATAATGATTTATAGTATCTCTGACTGCATGCATATCATTCTCTTTTTTGTTACATTATAGTAGTTTAAGAGTATGAGTATTTACTCACTATAATTAGCTCATTGTTATTTAAACAAAATTTTCAAATTTAAAAAATTGATTAAAAGATTAGGAATGAAAGAAAAAATATTTATAGAAGATATGGATAACCAAAAATGAGATAATTTTAATTGTATTACTTTAATTTATTTTATATAGTGGCTCTTTCATTGTTAAAATGTCAGCTATGGAAAAGTTTATTTTTTACTGTCTGTAATCGTCTTGATTAATTTCAAGTCCCGGGTTGATTCATGACAACTACAATTTCATTTTCCCTTCAAAGTAAGAATTGATAGATAGTTGCATTATTTTTGCAAGTTCTTAGACTCTGAAATTTCAAATTTTGGTAAGATTTATGTTAACATTTGACTAGTTTTATGTGTTTTTGGATTTTACATTAAAAAATAAATAAATTATTGAATGAATAAAAGCTGATGAACTGCAAAATTATGATTTTTTTGTTATTTTTTACATCTCATCCAAGATTTGTATCAAGAAAGCCCAAAATCCTATGACGTGTTGCAAATGATTTGGAATCAGAACTGTGATTGCAACATTATGTCAATGAGAAAAATATCAAAGTGATCTGCTGCTTCTTTATAGGGGTTATTTTAGTCTCAAATTTTATAAAAATATCAATTTAGTTCACATACACTTTAAACATAGACTAAAATAATGCTATGGAAGGATTATTTTAACATCAATTAAAAGACTTTGGGGATTGATTTGATTCTTTTATAAGCTCTGGGATTAAAATGATCCCATATAAATTGTCAAGAGCTTTTTTTGCACTTTACTCTTAGTCAGCTATAAGTTAGACATAATAATAGGGTTAAACAAAATAAAAAAGTTGCAATATGTAATACCCAAACTTTTCTAAATTTTAAGTGCAACTTACCCCAAATAAATTACATCTAAAATTTTAATTTATAAAAATGCATCTAATTCATTCTACTCTTCAAAATATTCATTTTGATATATAGAACTATATGTTAATTCAAAAAAAAAAAATTAATTTAATGAATTAGTTTCCATTTTGATTAAATTTTTTTAAGTTTTTAATTAAACTTACGCTCCTAGTCCTCTGGCAGTATTGAAATTTTCATTTTTAACTTAATTGTGCATGCAACAGATGGTGAAGTATAGGATTGTGATAATTTAACTTGTTTATACATATAAATGTGTGTGTACGCATGTGCATGCATACAAGAGTGCAAGCGCGTATTAGTATGCATAATTATATAAAATTTATTAAATAAATACCCTAATTCCCTAAGCCTATAACCTCTCCTTCCCCATTCCGTGAGCCAAACAGAGAGCAGCCAAGAAAATTTAAGGAAGAAAATAAAAGAAGGAAAGGGTAATGATGAAGAAGAAAAGAAAAAAAGGAAGAGAAGATAGGAAGGAAAGAAAGAAAAGAGAATAGAATAAGAAATTAGTTTTTTCTTTTTCCTTAATTTAAAATTGGATTTTGGTATTTTCCTAACAGTTTGATTTCTAAACAAGGTTATAGGCTCATAAGCTTAAATGAAAGAAGGTGATATTGAAATTATTTATAAAAGAAAAAGTTTCAAGCTATTCAACTTGAAAGGGCAAATAATCAAGTATGTAAGTTATATAAATTTTAATACATAAAATGAATTCTCTTTAATATTTTGTATAAGTATAGTAGATTAATAATTGAAAAGAATTGTCAAATATTCATATTTTGGAACGCATATTTACAATCCACTATTCATGAATAATGCATCACACTATTCAAGATAAATGAATCATATAAAAATTTGTTTGATACTAGCTAGCAATTAAATACATTTCACTTATATTAATTTTTTTTTAGTAAATGATATCGTTAAAAAATTTATCTTATACCTACAAATTGTTTATTTACATATACAATCATTTAGTATGTTTTAAAAGAAATCACATGTTTATTGAATTATAATTATAAAAATATGTAAAGTTTAAGAAATATCATGTTATAAGGGAAAAGGTTGACGATAATATGTTATGATATACACACAGGAGAGGCAAAGGGATCCGTAACAGGGCAAAAGAGTCTCCTAAAGAAATAGTGATAATATTGAGTTTCACATAATTTCTGTTGAACTTGATGAAGAAGACCTTAGGCTGAATTCATGTTGGCTAAATAACTAAAATAAATGTACATGACTTGACTTGAAGTTAAAAGAAAATATACGGCAACAGAAAATAAATAAGCAACAGGACTTGATACATTTAAATTACCAATGCAATTATAATGTTATCTCCTATTATTAATATTTTATTATATATTTTATATTTTCATCGTTATAGTAATGTACGGATCACATACACTCATTTTATGGCTTTGTCTAGTCATGATTAGCACACAAGTTGTTTATTTTTCTTTAGTATTTGAATTTGTATTAAATTTGCTTATTTTATTGAGTCTTTGGGTTCAGTAGATTATTATAAATATTTTTACAGAAAAATAGGATAAAAAGATTGAGTATATAAGTAAAATTCATGACCATATATTATTGAGCGGTTAGGTAGTAGCTTGATAAAATTTAACATTTTTTTTTCAAATCCATGCATGTCATTCGTTGTGAATATTTGGTAAATTTTAGTCTCATTGTTTTCATCTAGGTACTGTAAAACTGACTTTGCATGTGGATTAAAATTTGGTTGAATTTAATTTAATTTGATTTCTCTCTTTGTAGTTCATATTTCGATAGCTTATGTTGATTTTATTCATTCTCAAAATAAATTGTGAATTTCATATTTTGACAACTTTTAGATTATCATTTGATTGAGATTATATGTGTTTTCTTATCTTAAATCAAAAGTGATTGAAAGTATAGATAATTAATAATAGGACTCTATGAATTGTATTTTTATGTGGTTCGAGATTTCCATTAAGAGGAACCCTAGATCCTAAGACATCCTGCATCATCGAAAAATATATATTCTCATGTGTGCATGCATATATTTTGATGTTTATGTATCTACATCTATACATGTGTATGTGCATATTTCCCTAGATATTTTATTTTCTCCTTAGCGTTTGCATACATGAATCAAGCAATTCAAACATTTTCAATAAATAGCAAACCTCTATTGTATCTTATCCCATAAAAATGTACTCAATGTGTGCATCTTAGCTTCATGCTCATTATATTTAATAGGAAAAAAATTGCAACATAGTCCCAGATACAAATTATGGAAGCAAATGAGAATATTTGTTAAATAAATAATAGTAAGATCATATTCCATCCAAGCATGTTTGTCCAATGTGATATATAGATATAGTATTTTTATCCACAAGAAAAACATCATTCATTCAAGTCTTAAAACTTGCAGTAACCATTAAGATGGCAGTAGAAGAAAAATAAATGAACTTAAGAAATACCTTCAGGCAAAACTTTCCCATTTTCTTCAACTCTGCCACTGGAGTTATTTGCAGATGATTCTAAGCAAAGATCATTTAGACTCATTATGGCAGAATCTAAATTGTTACCGGATGCTTCAAGGACTTTTTCAAGATACTGAAATGTGAATAAACGGCCTGTTATTGAAAACTAAAACACCAATATCTAAATAACAAAAAAATATATAACTTTTGCAAACCAACCTTCAACAATGTTTTTTGACATACATGAAACAACATTGAACTGAAGTTAGTTCGAAAACTTTGAATATTAATTAAAAAATGTTATTAAGAAAATATATTGCACTTCATGAAATATCGGTCACTCGAATAAGCTTACATGTAGACAAGCATCACTATACTCCAAACAGTTAGCTTAAATCATGCAGAATAACTTTTAAATTTAAAATTCACCATACAAAATGATTTATTAAGAAAGGAGTGTCAGTTATATCAACTTGGTAGTTAAACTTATAATGTATAAATTGCAAAAGTAAAAAGCCCATGACCATGTATCAATTATTGACATTAGAAAAATGATATTCCATGACAAAAGTGATTGTATTCACACGAATTAGTTTTCAAGCTCTCATCATTAAGAGGTCACCATAGTAAGTTGAATTATTCAAATGACAATTTATTTGTTTTGTTAAAAATAAAGGGGCCTTTACATACCTACCACCCGCTTCCTATGTATTAACATAACAGACGCTTCAATTTTTGCATACAGACCAACCGATTCAAATGTTTTTAGCACAGGTTGGGTGGTCTGTAGGTAAAAATTAACGTTTAGGTGATTGATATGTTAATATATAGGAATTTGGGTGGTAGGTATATAAATCTCCCAAAAAGAAAACAATAACAATGTTCAAACAGCTCTCCTAAACTCGGAGGTATCAAACTGTCTCAATTTTAAAATCATGAATAACTATGGAACCAGTGTTAATTTCTTATAATACATTCTTTATGAATTACAAACTTTTACTTCCATAATTTATGTAGAACATATAATCAACTTAAAATTCCTATTCATTGCTAAGCCAAATGCTTGATATCAACCGCACTATTTCGTTCTATGATTCTATCCTATCTGTGGAAGAAAGGTCAATCATAGCCAAGAGATTGTGTGTGGAAGAAAGCCAACATATTTCTCAATGTTCACTATATTAAGCTTAAAGATGCAAAGGAGATGATGCTTTTATTTTTATTTTCCTGAAAACATAAATGCATTTAACATAAACAAGCAAACAAAAGGAGGTAAGATAAACCTGACCATCAAGTACTAAAAACAATCACATAAGATGTGAGAATAATTTTGAAGAAACTGAAAGCCAACTAATCATCAGTAAAACTACACGACCATTTTTTTCATTGTTTCATACAATCATATGCACAAAACCTTAAGACAGACACAAATAGGCGAAGGGCATGTTAAACCATCATTAAAAACGCGTATCTAATGAGTATATTTTTCTGTTTCCTGTAAGCATAAAATTATTAGGCGCTAAGGATAAGTTGGATGAGCGGTTCTGTATTTTGGTGTGTGTGTGTATTGATGTGTACAAATATATAAAGGAGGGCCCTAATTTTAGAAGAGACGAAGGACAGAAAGGAATTAACAACCTGCTGCTCCATAGTAGGGAAGAGGCTTCTAAGATGATCAAGAATTTGGCTGCTATCCCCTGCAGATCCAGAAGCGATCGTCGGAATTAAGAACTGGGAAGCGTTCCTGCTCGATGGCGGCGAAGCTACGCCGGCGGAGCAGCGAATTTTCTTAGAAGGCGAAGGATTGATGTATTGGATTTCTTCGAAAATAGAGGTGGATCTCTTCCTGCAAACTACGGCAGACATGATGCCAGCGCCCTCCTCTTCTCGCACAGCAGCTAGTCGCGTTCTTTTACACCGATCCCTCCAATCTCCGGCGGCTCCAAGCTATGTCTGACCTTCCATAGAGCGGCCGCGAAGGTGGGGAAAACGTTAGGGTTTTGCTTTCCGCCGCCGAAGGGTATGGGGGTTGCGCTTGTTAGTGCGGTAAGAGAAAGCCGACAAGGTTGTTATTGCGTTCGATGCCACAGTGCTGCAGGTTGAACCGTGGATGCCTCCTGGCCTTGCCAGCGTTCTAATCGCACTACATTTATATTTGGGCAAATGGATGATGGCTTTACTTTTCCACTAATAATAATAATAAATAAAATATATATGCATATCAAAATTTGCATTTTTCTTATATATTTATATTAATATTTAGGAACATTTACATATATACCGCTCATTTCTTATGTATTTACATATCTAACAAGAGAGTGATAAAAGGCAGATCTTTGGGTAACAAATAGCAAAATAATGTTTCGAAAGGAATAAAATTAATATTTTAGGAGAAATAAAAAATCAAATTACCTTCTCATATAAATAAAAATATGAATTTAAGCCGGGGGGGGGGGGGGGGGGGGGGGAGGTAGACCTAGCTAGATCCACCTATGCTAACAACTAAACTTTATTTTTTATATTACATCAAAAATATCATCATTTTAACTTTTAAGAAATTAAAATGCCTTAACTAATCATTTTATATTTGTCATCAACCATAATGTCTAATGAATCTTGAAAAAGAATCATGTTAAAAAATAAGATTTAGTATGATATCCCGAAACAAAAAAAAAATGATAAGCATTAATTTCGAGTAATTTCATTATTTTCTTGAGAACTGATATGTTTTACTAGTCATTATTAAGAAAATTTTATAATGACAAATAAGCATTTTTTTTTTGTTTCATAAGCAAGTTTTTTATGGGTATTAAGTAATTAACTTGATAATTATTAATTTTACAACAATATAAATTTTATGTAAATAAAGTTTATGCTATTCAATATAGTTAATTGCATAAAAATAAATATTAATATTACATGAATCAATTTGAGATTCATAAATTTTTATAGTAATATACAAAATTGAAACAAATAATTAAAATTAACCTGTCAAGTCTTTCTATATTGTAGAAAGATAATCATATATGGGATAAAATTGAGATACATATTTTTTTTAAACATGTCAATGCAAACTTAAAAAAGGGTCAATAAACATATATATAACAAATAATTAAAAATAAAAGGCTAGACTAATAGCTTGTAAATAGCTAAGAACATAGCATAAAATATGAAAGATAATGCACCAAAAAAGATTATTATTATTCTTCAATAAATTAAAAGTACTTACCCCTAAGTGAGTAGATTGTAATTCCAAATTTAACCGAGATTCAATAAATTTTACCGACTAAAAGTCCTACATATAATAACCTAATTAAATGCAACAAAATTAGTTAATTAACTAAGATAGGTACTAACTTAATTGATTTGTGCTACACCGTCATAAACTTGAATTGATTGTTGCAAGGATGTAATCAACTTATGATTTAAAACATAATTCATCAATTTTGATTTAATTAGAATTTTAATTTAGTTAATCTAACCTACCTAAAAATTAATAACATGAGTTAATATATTATAAATTTAGGAAAATTAAATTTCTCTTGACTAATTAAATGGAGATGATGGAATGGCAAGGTCTCCAAAAATAACAAAAATATATAAGATAGTATTGACAGAGGGAGCTTATAGTTTGAGGAGAAGAGATTATAGATTGAAAGAAGGCAAACATGAATAGGACTTGTAGCATGATGGCTCTTTGATTGAAGAATAAGAAGGTGATAGAGAGGCCTCTCTAATCTTTGTTAGTGAGGTTTTCATCGATTACAAATTACGGAAACTGGTCTTGCAGTTTGGGAGAAAAATATAGGGAGGGAGTAAGAGATTGAAGCTCTTAATCAAGGGAGACTCAATATTTTTAAGGGAAGGTTATGGATGAGAAGTGCAATGCCTCAGAGTTACAACCATTTAAATCAAGATTCAAGGAGGTGGTGAGCATGGCATATATATAATGTGTAATGATCAAATATAGTTGGGAGCTTAGAAGACTTTTGTAAATAAGATGGATATGAGGATGTGTGGTAAAACAAGTTTGAGTTTACAAGCCTATGGTTTAAGAGATTCGGGTGAAATGAGAGGGAGGTGTGGTAATTTTAGGATAGGTTTGTTTGTACAATTACACTAGATTTTAAAATGATCATAGTTTAACACCATCTTTAATATTTGATCTTTATTTGAACAAATATTAATCATCAATTTTTAACCTAAATTATGGTCATATAATGGAAATTTTGGCTTTGATTAGGCCTTGAATGAAATTTAAATCATGCTCATACGAGCTTTAAACTAGCTTTTAAATAGACCATTTATTCTTTGAAATTTTTGTACGCGTAAACATATTCTTGTATTGCCGAGATGAGAATGCTTAGGTGGATGTGTGGCTTGACACTTAGAGACAAAATGTGAAATGAATATATCTGTGATAGGGTTGGTGTAGCTCTAGTGGCAGACAAAATTAGATAGAGTCGTCTTAGATGGTTTGGTTACATTAAACTTTGACCATCTGATGATTTGATTGGGAGTGTAGATGTTTTAAATTTGATTTATGTTAAAAAAACACAAAGGTAGACATAGAAAGACTTGCAGAAAATTTTTTGATCATATATGGGATAAAATTAGAGGAGAAAAATGTTTCATGTAGCCGACCGTATATGGGATAAAATTAGAGAATTCTTAGAATATTTGCAATAATAAAGATAGCTTATTAGGGAAGTAAATTATTTCCTTTATATTATGGGTGGTATTAAGAAAAATATTTTCTATTAATTGAATTTCCTCAAAATTTTTTATTAATATTGCTTATATATAAACCTCCTTTACTTTTACACATATGATTATGCTTATGTAAAGAATATTAAAAAAAGACTAGTTAGTTTAATAATATTTTAAATACAATTTGTTTTTAAATATAGGGTTCTCTTTCTATCTCTTTCAAATTATATTCAATATTGGCAACATTAAAAGGGGAGATGGGCCACAATCACCTAATTGATATTTTAAAGACTGTTTTAGCATAATTTTAACATTATTTGATGTAATTATATTTGATTTATAATTTTTTTTTTTTAAAGTCTTATTGTGGGCTTTGAAAGACACCTTACAGATATTGAACTAAAGGATTGGTTGTATTTAAATCAATTGACTCTATAGTCATGCCATGATCAATAAAATATAGATTGGATTTCACATCCTAGATATTTTTTCTATAAGAAAATATAATCTCGATCATGATTTATTTTAATTTTAGGGATTATGATATCTTAAAGGAGCATGCTCCTGTGATTAATTACATCTCAAGCTTATCCGGAAAGTACTCTCAATTGAGGAATCAATGCTTATATTGATTAATTTATTGAGATTTAGATTTGATCTGGTGAACTGAAAATCATAATGGGTCTATGAGGTTCTATAAAGGATGAAAATTTAGGAAGTGACGGAAATCAACTTAAGGATAGGCTCAAAGGCACTCAAGAAAATCAAATTATCCTACCAAATAAGTATGATGTTCTCATCAATATCTTATGATTCCAAAATTATAAGTCGTTGGTATCCTTAGTTTGTTTAGTTAACGGGTGACGAGAGAATCTTTGTTAGCAACCATAAGTTACCTCTTCTAAGGGTATTAGCTCACATTAATCCTAAATTGACGGATGTGACTAATTACAATACACTCACATATGATGGAGAATTCTAGACTGGACTTATAGCACCACGTGTGACGGTGGATGCTAAGACTAACATGAGCTATTATAGCTATGGCTCTAAGCTTATGGGTAGGAAAGATATGATGTAAAGAATTTGGATTGTAGCTTGATCGCAAATTATTAAGATGACAAAATATATCCTCATTATAGAACGCTGAGACACAAAAGATATAAAGATAATCCTCAATATAATATAAAAAAGGAATAAAGATGTGAGCCCTCTTTGAGGAAGTGTAAGGAGATCCATGGCAGGGATTCCCTTAAAATAGTGTGAGGGAGGATGAGAGACAGAGAGTCTCAATAAAATGCGAGGAGCCCAAAACATGATTTTTCTCAATATGATGTGAAGAACAAATGGATGATTTCCCTCAATATAGTGTGAGGGGGATTTAGAGATGAAAAACCTTCTTAATACAGTGTGAAGAGAGGTTAAAAGAATATTCCACTCAATATAGTGTAAGAGAAAACTCAAAAGTTGCAAGCAAATACAAATAGAGTGGGTCGACTAAATGTAGAGAAAAGCCAAAGGTAAATAACTTAAAATGACTATATGAAGTTGGCTTAGGGTCCGTTTGGGGCAGCTTATAAGTGCAGGGGGTGTTTTGAAAACGCCGCCGTACCGTTTGGTTCACGCGTTTCGCCAGCTTATCTGAAACTGCGTTTGAGTTTTTACACTAAACACGGGCCGCGGGTCGACCCCTATAGCCGGCCCGCGGGCCGCCGCCCACGATAAGCACCCAGCTTATCCTGAAACGCACTAGCTGCCCCAAACGGACCCAGGTGTAGTGTGAATGCGTCTAAATTTTCAATCCTAAAAGAGAATTCTAAACTATATGCGGACTCACAAATATCTTGATATGATAGACGCCAACAAAAGGAGTTTGAAGGTTGACTAGTGTTCATCGATCCTACTAGACTCCTATATTAGGATTTATCTTTTTGTTTCCTAATGTGTTCAGCCTATAAATTAGTGATATGTGACACTAGGACATTTAATCATCAATCATAAGTAGTGTTGATCAATCGCAAGAGCAGTGAAATCATAATTGATACAAACAAAGGATATAATTTGCCCCAATCCTTAATCTAATTTAATAATTTTTATTCTATTTTATTCATTAATACTTTTAATTGATTATAAATCTTTGCAGTCTTATAGTCAATTAATTTTTTTTAAAATACTACTCATCAAAGAAATATATATAATTGATTAGTAGTATTTCGAGCCAAAACGAGCCGAACACGAAACGAATTGTTCGTGTTGTTCGTGTTCCGCTCGTTAACTTAGCGAACAAGCCGAAGAACAACGAGCCGTTTTGACAGCCCTAGCCGACATAAAAGAAACTTGAATGGTTTGAACATGCCAAATGTTTTTTTACAAAAAATTCTTTGACATACAAAATGAACCATTCGTAATCCATAAATATCATCCAAATGCAAAATTTAAATTCCACTCAAAATTGTTT